CAAGGGTGCCTGGCGCGCTAGATCCTACATGTTTGGGCTCTCCCCCCCAACAAAAACTCTCCCCTGGGGCTCCAGCCCGTCCCACCGACCACCCGGAAGGCGCCCATTTTTCACAAAAAATCCCAAGACGGGTCAAGATGGCCTTCAAGACCGCCAAGATGACCCAAGCTGGCCTCCCAGATGCCTCCAAGGTGGCCAAGATGGCCTCCACGACGGCCCAAGAGGGTCCAAGATACTTCCAAGTCCGCCCGAGAAGCCTCCAACACGGCCCAAGACTGCCGAAGAGGTGCCCAAGAGGCCTCAAAGACGGCCCACAAAGCCTCCGAGAGGTCCTCCAGGAGGGCCCGAAGAGGCTAAATCATTGATTTTCAATCGGTTTCCGAAGGATTTTCGTATTTGCTCCTTTTCCGCCTTCCAACGGCCGAAGACGCCCAAGATCGCCCCTGGAGCGCCCCAGAGGCTTCCACCATGGCCTCAGGACTGCCAAAGAGGCCCCCAAGACGGCCAACCAAGAGGCCTCGAAGACGCCCAAAGAAGCCTCCAAGACGGCACTTTAGCACCCCAAGAGGGCCCCAAGTCGGCCCAAAGAGGCCCCCAAGACGGCTTCCGACAGCGTCAGATAGGCCAGGAGCCCACCAAGACGGCCCAAGATGGCCCAAGACGGCCAAAGAGGCCTCCAACAGGGCCTCCAGGAAGGCCCGAAGAGGCCCAAATCAAAGATTTGCTGTCGGTGTTTGAATGATTTTGGCATATGTTACTTTCCGGCCTACCGACGGCCCGAGACGGCCCAAGAGCACCCCAAGATCGCCCGAGAGGCCTCCAGGATCCAGAACGGCCCAAGAAGCCCCCAAGACGGTCCCAAGAGGGCTCCAAGACGGCCCAAGGAAGCTCCAAGACGCCCAAGGAAGCCTCCAAGACGGCCCTGGAGGGCCCCAAGTCGACCCAGAAAGGCCCCCAAGACGGCCCGCAGAGGGCCCAAAGACAGCCCAAGAGAGCTCCAAGACGCCCAAGGAATGCCCCAAGTCGAGCCAGAGAGGCCCCCAAGACGGCTTCCGACGGCGTCAGAAGTGCCAAGAGCCCACCAAGACGGCCAAAGAGGCCCCCGAGAAGCCCCCGAAGGCCCCCAAGAGGCCCAAGGAGGCCCCCAAGATGCCTCCAAGAGGCTCCCAGGAAGCTCCCAGGAGGACCCAAGAGTGTCCCCAGAGGCTCCCCAAATGCCCCCTCCTCCTCCTCCTCCTCCTCCTCCTCCTCCTCCTCCTCCTCCTCCTCCTCCTCCTCCTCCTCCTCCCCCTTCTCCTCCTCCTCCTCCTGATCTTCCCCGCCATCCTCCCCCAAGTGTTCCCCGAAGGGTTTGCACAACGGTTGGGGGAACACATGGTCCGACAGCTTGGCAGAGCTCTTGCCACAACGCTCGGCCACACGGGCGATTCTAGAAGGCAGGGGGGCGGCGGTGACTCGCCGTAGGCGTCTTCGATCTTCGTAGCACGCCGCAGTCGCGGATAAGAGGGGGCGGCGGGGACGTCTGGCCTGCGAGGCTCTGAAGAAGCCCGCCGCAGGTGCGCAATTTTTGCAAATTATACAGCGAGCCCGCCGACGGAGCCGATTTCTAGTAAAAATGATGTGGGTTGGTCGCGGGGTGGGTCGCGGGTGGGTCGCGGGTGGGTCGCGGGTGGATCGTGGGTGGGTCGCGGGTGGGACGTGGGCCGGGTCGCGGGTGGGTCGCGGGTGGGTCGCGGGCGGATCGCCGGGTGGGTCGCGGGTGGGTCGCGGGCGGGTCGCAAGTGGGTCGCGGGTGGTTCGCGGACTGGGTCGCGGATGTGTCGCGGGCCGGGTCGTGGGGGGGACGACGCCGAACAACACCAACACCAACAGCAACAGCAACAGCAACAACAGCAGCACCACCACCAACAACAATAACAACACAAACAGCACCAGCACCAACAACAGCACCAACAACAGCAGCAACACGAACACGCACAACAGCATGACACAGACACCAGCAGCAGCAACAGCAGCAACAACAACACTATCAGCATCAACAACACCAGCAACACATTTAACAACAACAGCAGCAGCAGCAACAACAACACCAACACCAACACCACCAACAACAACAACACCAACAACAACAACAGCAACAGCAACAACACCAACAACAACAACAACAACATCACCAACAACAATACCACCACCAACAACAACAACACCAACAACAACACCAACACCAACACCACCACCACCACCACCACCACCACCAACAACAACAACAACAACAACAACAACAACAACACCACCACCACCACCACCAACAACAACAACAACACCAACACCAACACCAACACCAACACCAACACCAACAACACCAACAACAACAATCAATCAATTTAAGGCTGTTCGCTTTTACTGACACGCGTTTCTTGCACCCTGTGTACACCAAACCTCGCTACCCGCCAACTTCGTCTTCGATTGCGCCCCTTTTCGGGGGAAATGCTTCCCTTGTCGGCCACTGACTGAAAAGCGAGGCACTCTCGAGCGAAAGCGTCTCGAAAGGCGCGCAGTGGCCCCATCGAGGCCCCAAAGACGCTCCGAGCAGGCCCCAACGAGCATCAAGGAGCCGCCCAGGAGGCATCCAGCACCGAAGAGGGGCCCCGAGAGGCCGCAAAGAGCTCCGAAGAGGCCCCCTGGGAGAGCTCCAAATATGCATGGTGTGTATAGTATGTATAATATAGTACGCATGGTGCATATGCATATATAAGTATGTATGTTATTTTATATGTGTATATATACATACATATAGGTTATCAGCCCCTCCCTCGATCACACTCAACCAAAAGCAAAAGGTGGAGGAGGGACAGTATGGCAGAGGGGTTGCCCAAACCAGTTCCGAGACGGATCTTTGTATGATCGCCCAATACGAAAAGAACGCACCGCCCGACATGCACCATCTGCGCTGCCCTGCATCCCGCGGCGCCCTCCCAGGACCCCACGAAAAGGGCAACCATTGCGCACTTCGCAGCCCTCACAGAGCCACGAGGTCTCGCCTTCATCCGCGCTGCCCTGCACTCCGCCATGCCCCTTCAGAGCCCACGAACCTGGCCTCCCAAGGTCCACGAGCCCTCCCTGCGCCGAGCCTCCCAGGGTCCACGCAATGGGGCGACAAGTGCACAGGTCGCAGCCCCCGACAGAGCGGCGAAGTCTCGCCTTCATCCGCGCTGCCCTCACCTCCACCGTGCCTCCGGGGAGCCCACGAAAGTGGCAAGAATTGCACAAAACGGAGCCCCCGAGGGAGCCGCGAGGTCACAATTGGATCCGCGCCGCCCTCACCTCCGCCGTGCCTCCCAGGAACCCACGATTGCGCAGTTCGTAACCCGCGACGGAGCCGCGAGGTCTCAAATGGATCCGCGCCGCCCTCACCTCCGCCGTGCCTCCCAGGAACCCACTAACGTGCCAAGTCACAAGTGGACCCGCGTGGCTCTCAGCTCCGCAGTGCCTGCCATGAGCCAACGAAAATGGAGACAATTGAATACTTCGCAGCCCGCGACGGAGCCGCAAGGTCTCAACCGGACCCGCGTGGCCCTCGCCTCAGCCGTGCCTCCTGGAAGCCCACGAAAGTTGCGACAATTGCACAGTTTGCAGCCGCCGAGGGAGCCGCGAGGTCTCAAATGTATCCGCGCCTCCCTCACCTCCGCCGTGCCCCCCAGGAACCCACGAGCGTGGCGACAATTGCTCTCTTCGCAGACCCGGAGGGAGCCGCGAGGTCACAACTGGACCTGCGTGGCCCTAGCCTCCGAGGTGCCTCCCTGGAGCTCACGAAAGCGGCGACAATTGCGCGCTTCGCAGCCCCCGAGGGAGCCGCAAGGTCTCGACTGGACCTGCGCGGCCTTCACCTCTGCCGTGCCTCCAGGAGCCCACGAAAGTGGCAACAATTGCGCACTTCGCAGCCCCCGAGGGGGCCGCGAGGTCTCAAATGGATCCGTACCGCCCTTACCTCCGCCGTGCCTCCCAGGAGCCCACGAACGTGGCGACAACTGCGCACTTCGCAACCTCCGCCGTGCCTCCCACGAGCACGCGAACGTGGAGACAGTTGCTCACTTCGCAGCCCCTAAGAGGACGCATAAGATGCAGGAGGACGCACAAAATGAACGAAGAGGTTGCGCGAGCAGCGCTTTCTTCAGAGCGGGAACCCAGCACTGGAAAGCTGGGAAAAAACACGCATAAAATTGCAGCTTGCTGGTCTGCCCAGTGCGGCAAGGTCTTAACACAACTGGCGTTTCCCGGCGGTCCTGTTCGGCCCGAGATTGCCCTCGTCTGACTATACAAGACGAAGTCCACCTTGCACGTCTGCACGCCCCGCCCCACCCGCGATGGGTCAGGGCACCAGACCGCGACAAGGCGGGCGGAGGTGGCCACGGAGCCTCCCAAGGATGCTCCCAGTGCACCAAACAGTGTTCATTAAGTTCTTGGTGCTCACTGCTTTGCCATCTCGCGGATTCGCTTTCGATGGACTTCTACGGCCTCAAGACGGCCAAAGAGAGCCCCACAAGGGGCCAAGACAGTAACCACGAAGGCTCCGAAGGCTCCCCATTGTTTGATCGATGACCACCAGCATGGCTCCCGACGAGCCCGAAAGGCCTCCACGAAGTCCCCCAAAGAGCCTCAAGAGGGCCTCAAAGGCTGCCAGAAATGGCCCAACTGATCTTCAAGATGGCTCCAAGAGGCCTTTACAAGAGGCCCACAGAGGTCTGTTAGTTCACCGAAATGTGCCTCGGTGTCTTATGCTTCCCGACCTCCCTTCTCCAGACAACTCGCCTCAGCGAAGCGCGACGAATTACGAAAACTTCGGGGTTGTTTGTTCGAGCCACGGGAGGTCCGAGGGCGACAGTGGTGTCGAATGTGATGGCCAATCCCAAGGATGTCAGGAGCACAGCACCCAATTACGATCTGCCTACCGTAGCCTGCGAACTCAATACGTCGTCCTCGTTGCACCCCCCCTCCCGTGGAACAGATTCCCGCCGACCGGGTCCCTGATCAGCAGGGCATCCACCGCGTCCTCAGGCAAAGGCACTTGCTCTTCCCCCTCGGCGGCGCCCAAAAGGGGGTGGGGCGAGGGAGGCGGCCTTGATGAAGAGGCTGGGGGACACGTCAGCAGGACTCGGAGCCTTCTCGCAGGCCTTGCAGACGGCAGGACGACTTCTCAGAAGCATCCTGACATCATTGAGGTCCGCCCCCCCATCGCGCCAACGACCATTGCCGCGCCGCCTCCTCTCGTCGTCCCCCTCCGACGGCGGCGACCAGCAACAAGGCACCCGCCCACTCTTCATTCCCTTCCTCCTGGCTCCTTCTCCCCTCCCCCCCGCCTCTTCCCCCTCCTCCTCCTCTCCCAATCCTTTCCCTCTCCCTCCTCCTCCGTCTCCTCCTCCTCCTCCGTCTCCTCCTCCTCCTCCGCCTCCTCCTCCGACGACGACGACGACGACGACAGCAACCACCACCACGTTGATGTCGAGCACTGGCAGGGCATCCACAGCGCCAGCGCGGGGAGGGAGCGGAAAACCAAAACCGACAAGATCAAGCGCATAAGCTTTGTGGGACATTCGCGCGGAGTTCCAGGGTCGGCGCCGACCTCCCTGCCCGCACCTCTGGCGGCATCTCCGTTGCCGCCACCGCGCACCAAGAGGAGGGCGGAAGAGGGAGGATGCTCCAGCAACGCCAGGGCGCCCTCCCCACGCTCACCTGGGAGATGAGGACAGTCCAATCAAAGCCATTTGGCCTCTTGCGGGCCAGCCGATCCCGATCGATCCATCGGGGTCGGTCGGCGCCTGCCGCCCGATCGATCGCGGTGGCAGGGCGCATCGCGCATCGGCCAGCCCCCGAGGCCGGGCTCACGCGCGCCGCGCGCCATCTTCTGCGGCAGGGGGCCACCCGTGCCTCCCTGTCCCCTGCCGCAGGCCGCGGCGCTCGCGGCCGCGCTGCGGCCCAGCGGCGGGGCGCCGCGACATCGCCGAGGAGGAGGTCCAGAGGGCGCTGCACACCGCCGTGAGCGGCAGCAGAGAGCCCAGGACAGGCTCCTGCTCCGCCTGCGGGCAGCCGCCGAGCGCCTGGCCGCCCACCACTCTGCCCAGCCAGCGATGGCCCGAGACGGGAAGGGCAGAGGCAGTGGTGGCCGAGGCGGCAAGGGCCAGGCCCAGGAGGAAGCAGCACCGCCAGCAGCGCCCCCCATGGCGCCAGGAGAGGTGGCATGGTGCTGGCTGGCAAGAGCAGCATTGGCATGCGGAGCCAGCAGGCGAGGACCCGCCCTGGCGCAGGGCGCCATCACGGCCACGGCGCTCTGGCCAGGCCAGCCCTCGCCAATGGCAGCCGCAGCAGCAGCAGCAGCAGCCCAGCCAGCCCCCCTGGCAGCAGCAGCAGCAGCAGCAGCAGCCCAGGGCGGGCAAAGGCGGCCAGGCCAGCTCCAGCAAAGCGGACCAGCGGGCCCAAAAAGTCATTGACTCTGTGGCAGCCTGCACGCTGGACGAGGCCACCTCCCACCCAAAGTGGCAGGCGCACCCGGCCGACCGCGCAGGTATCCAAAAGTTCCTGAGCAGCGCTGACCAGAGGCTGAGGAAGCTCGGCGACCTGGTCATTGCCAAGCAGGCCGCGGGCGACAGCACGAAGGAGCAGCTGATGGAAATCTCGGTCATTAAATATCAGAAGCTGGTCACGAGGAGGCCGAATGACCAGCTACAGGTGCTCAGCAAAAGGCGCAAGGCCATCAAACTCGAAGTCATCGCCCTCGAGGCCAAAATGAACGAGCTGCGGGACGACCTCAAGGCCAAGCAGCAGGAGTTGAGGCAGGTCGAGTCCAACATCGCCGCTGCGCGGGCCGTGCTCGCCGACGGCGGCGCGGCGGACGACGAGGGCGACTGGGACACGGACGGGTTTGGCTTGGCGCCGAGCTGGGACACCTTCCACAAGGCCGTGATCGACAGGCGCCTGAACAGCGAAGCACCTGGTGACGGACCTCCAGCTTGGCCAGCGGGAGTGGTGGGGCGCTCGCCACGCTCAAGAGCCAGCTCGGCAGGCAGCGCAACCAGAGGCTTCGCCGATCAGGTGGCTAAGGCGAACGCGGAGAGGGCCCACCAACAGCAACGCCATGCCGAAGCCGAGCATGAGTTTGCTGCCGAGCTGGCGGAAGTCAGGGGGGTCGCCCGCGAGCAGGCACTCCGCCACAACGCCGAGCAGGCGAAGCTCAGGCTGGCCCTGAAGGAGGAGTCAGAGCAGCTGCAGCGCACCACCGTAGCGGAGAGCGCAGCCCAGCAACAGCAGCAGCAGCAACACAAGGCTCTCCGCCACGAGATCAAGAAGCAACAAGCCGAGCAGCTCGAGTTCGCGACGCAGATGGAGGCAAGGTTAATCAGCCATGACGCAGCTTTCAGTCAAGTCAAGGCTGAGGCCGAGGCGGCGACCCAACGTGCAAATCACCTGCGAGAGCAGCTTGAGTGCGCCCGCGCTGAGCACCGAGCGCAGCCGCAGCCCCAGGACAGGGTCTACCAAGACCTACTGCGGGCAAGCGCCGAGGCGCAGGAGGCATTGCGACAGGCCCAGCACGAGAGCGCCCAAGCGACAGCTGCAGCTGGCACTCTCAAGCAGCAGCTCATCAGGCAGGAGCTGGTCATGGAAGAGAAGCTACAGGAGGCCAAGAAGGACCGCGCCCTTGAGCTTGAAGCTGCCGCTGAATCAGCCAGGGCCCAGGCAATTGCCCAGGCCCAAGTGGTTGCCAATGCCAAGGGAAAAGGATCCCCCCCGCCGGCAGAAGCGGCCAGGCTGCAAGGGATCATCCAGACAGCAGCACGGCAGCAGGATCGGCTCAAGCAGACCAAAAGCGAGCTCGAGGCAGCTGAGGCCCGCATCCATGAGCTCCAGCAGTACTCCAAGATTGAGGCGGGCGCTGCGCAGCGTGCAGTACAGGTCGCCTACCACGAAGCAGCGGAGCTGAGAAGCGCCAACGAGGAGCGGCAGGTCCCGCACGAAGTGCAGGCATTGCAGTTCGCCCTGCTAAGGACCAGAGCAGAAGAGGAGGAGATTGCGAAGGCCAGTCTGAAGGATAAGGAGGCAATGCGGGCGGAGCTCGAAGGCAGTGCTGAGCGAATAAGGTCGAGTCTCACCCGCCAAGTCATGATAGAAGAAGCGAACGCACATGATTTGCAGCTGCACACAGAGAGCCTGCGACAGGAACTGAGCAGCTACGCGGTGCAGCTGAGCGAGCAGAGGTCCAACGCAGCGGTGCAGGAGCAGGCGCTGGAGGAGGAGCTCGCCCAAGCCCTCACCTTCAGGATCGCCAGCATGGAAGAGGCCTCCGCCATGGAAGACTTTGCCAGCCAGCAGAGGACGGGCAGGGAGGAGGCCATTCACCTCGCGCTGCAAGAAAGCCTCCAGCGCTCCCGCACGCTACACACCGAGCTCGACGCCATCGCAAAGAAGGAGAAGCAGGGCGCGTCGGAGACAGAGGAGTTAAAGCTGAGAGTGCAGAGCCTGGAAGCCATCGCAGCCAGTAGGGAACGCGAACGCAAAAACCATGGTCAACCTGTACGCCGAGATGAGGCAATACGGGCAGGAGGGCTACGACTTCACGAAGAGGGCAGCTCATCACCTCGTCCAAGGGGGCCACCTCCCAACGTCCCAAGAGTCCATGGACGACTACCAGGAGGCCGCCGACCTGTACGAGAAAGCTAGGAGCAGCCGGGGCAGCTACCGCCCCAGCGGAGCCCCCCGTTGCGACCACCCTCCCAACTGGTGCAGCCGAGGAGCGCCCAGCCAACAGGGGCCGTAGGCAGGGCAGCTCCTCGCATCGGAGGCCCGCATCAAACAGGTCAGCCAGATCAGCAGCCCGCCAGACCGATGAAGGCGATGTACCCCGCAGAGAGCGCGACAGGTCCAGGAGCCCCGACAGGCCAGACCCGCATGAGGAGGCAGAAAGGTACGAGCGTGAACAAGATGATTTGCGCAGACAAGACGCCGATGAGAAAACACAATGGGAAGCCGTACAGATGGAGGAGGAGCTGGAGTCCGTAGTGAGGGATCACGAAGCGGAGGAGATCCAAAGGCGCTACTACGAGGATGCCCCCATGACCCAGTTCGGCCCTGCGGGCCCACAGGACTCCCAAGCGGAGGACGACTGCTCGGAGCACGCGCCGATGATCTACCCCGCCAGCTGGCCGCCCTGGAGCCAGGATCACCCCGCACCCGAGGAGGGGGGGGAGATGAGGGGAGTCACGCAGCACGAGGCAGACACAGACTTGGCATCCACCTCAAGGGCTAGCTCGGCACCAGCAGAGCAAGGCGACCCTCCTACTCCGATAGCATCTCAGGTGATCTTCATCCCAGCGTCGCCAGCGCCACTCAGCGAGAGATCACTCAAGCCCACTGTTCCATTTGGGCATGATGAGCTGCGCGCCCAAGGAGGTGGAGAGGGAGCCGACAGCTTCGTACTGACCCCTCCCCCTGTATCCCAGCAGAGCGCGGAGGCGGCAGCAGCCAGCATCGAGAGGCAGTACGAGGGCATCGACATCCTAACGCGCCAGCACACCTCAGCCGCCGCCGCAGCTGCAGCCCTTGAGGAGGCGTTTGGACCCGCGCCCGCATTTCCAGGAGAAGACATCAGCCAGGCCCACAAGGGTCAGCGGGTAGACTCTGGAGAGTCAGGCATAGCACGTTTTCGTGGCCGAGTGGCCCGCAGGAGGGACGAGGCAAGGGGCACAGCAACCCCCTCCCCTCCTGCAACTCCTGGAGCCGAGGAGCAGGCAGCAGCAGCGCCCGCCGAACCCCCCCGAGGGGGGGAGGGGGCCTAGCAGCGCCGCCAGGCATCAGGTCATGCATGACAGAATTCACGGCCAGGAGGCGGCCGATGAGTCCGACAGGGCAGAGCACGACGGATGTGGGCTTCCTTCACGCTCTCCGATCAGTTCGACAGCGTCGATCTCCTGTGCAGCATTGGGGAGAGCAGCTGGGGCCCAAGGGCTGCAGCACGGCAGTGGGGTCCTCCACTACGATGCTCGACCTACCCACCACCAGAGG